TTGCAAGACTGACACGCGTTGCACCAGACGAGGTCCTTCGAGTAGCTGGGTACACAATTCCAGCCAACACTCCTATTGGAATGTCGTCTTGGCTACTTCATCTCAACCCTAATATCTTCCCAAACCCCGAAGAGTTCCGACCAGAACGTTGGCTAGCTCCAGGCGCGGAGCAACGACGAAAGTATCTTGTAAATTTCACCAAGGGCAGTCGAGTGTGCCTGGGCAAAGACCTGGCTCGAACGGAAATACTGTACACCCTAGCACTCGTTGTGCGACGATGGAACAGTGAAGGTGGCGGCGGAATGGAGCTCTTCCAGACAGAGAGGATGGATGCAGACATTGAACATGATTTTTTCAACCCTTTCCCACGCTTTGGAAGTAAAGGGGTTAGGGTAATTCTTCTGTGAGCGATCGGGTTGAGAAGTAGCCTCGGTTTTCTATATGTTGGAGCGCGGGGACGAGCTTGAGAGTGAGATAATTATTGGAGCCAGCTGATGTGGATTGATCATTGAGCCCATAGTGTACGCAGGTAGGGAGCAGTATGGAGAAAATCACGTGATCCTTCGTTTTGTAAATCGTCTCATATACCTATTTGTTTAGGTAGGTACAGACCTACTGCGCTGGACACTCGATCAAATATTGACTCTAATTTCACACATGGATATTTGGTATTCTCTTCTTCATTCGCCTGATGAATTTCTATTCGGGTATCACCTAAAATGAAGAGTCGAGCGAAGCCAGTTCCAGCTCCTGACTTTGATTGGCTAAGAGCTGTCACGTGAGCAGGTGTCGTTTCGCGACGAAGCTTCTGGGCGCGCACTTTAGTGGAGCCTCTGCCACCCCAGACCACACCAAACATGCCACCAAAAGGGTCGAGGAAGGCAGCTGCAACTGTCACACACAAGACTCTAGTGCTCGACAATGGGGCGTATACACTCAAAGCTGGCATTGTCCCTGCTGGCCTGGAACCTACGTACGACGACTGCACCGTCATCCCCAACTGCATCGCACGCAGTGCACGCGACAAACGCACCTACGTGGGCTCTGAACTGGCGGCCTGTAAGGATTTCGGAGAGCTAGTGTTTCGGCGTCCCGTCGAAAAGGGCTTCATCGTGAACTGGGAGGCCGAGAAGACGATATGGGAGCATGAATTCACGGGCGACACGGCCGAGGCGGGGTTGATGGTGGGTGCGGTGCCCGACAAGGTCCAGGAGATGATTTGCTAACGCATGTAAGTGTGATCCACGCGAAACCAACCTGCTTCTGCTGGAGAAGCCAAATTGCCCGAAGGAGCTGCAGAAGAACTGCGATGAGATTGTCTTCGAGCAGTTCGGGTTTGCGTCATACTACCGCTGTGTCGGCCCAACACTCAGTGCCTACAACGTATCCAACACTGCGTCGCTATCTTCCCTTCCACAGGAATGCCTCCTAATCATCGACTCGTCATACTCGGATACAACAATATTACCCACTTTCAAGGGCAAGCTCATACAATCGGCCGTGCGACGACTTGCAGTAGGTGGAAAGCTTCTGACCAACTATCTGAAAGAGCTCTCTTCACTACGACACTACAATATGATGGAAGAGACTTACTTGCTGAACGAGATCAAAGAAGCAGTCTCATACATCGCACCCTCGTCACAGCACTTCTCGCGAGATCTGGAGCGAACATGGAAGGGTCGACTGGGGGATAAAAGAACATTGGATTCGGATATAGTGGTTGACTATGTGCTGCCAGACTATGAGAAGTCGATACACGGCTATGCGCGACCGCATGATCCAGCAAAGTCGCGGATACGACGCGGGTTGCAGCCAATCCAAGGCCCCAGAGAAGATCTCTTGCCGCTTGGCAACGAGCGCTTTGCGGTCCCAGAGCTGCTGTTCAATCCGTCAGATATTGGCATTCAAGAGGCTGGCATTCCCGGTGCCATTATGGAGTCAATGGGGCTACTGCCGGAAGCCCTGCAAATTGGAATGCTGGCAAATATCGTCGTGGTCGGCGGCAATTCGCTCATCGCGGGATTTATGGATAGACTAGCAGCTGATTTGAGAGTGTTGGTGCCGGCAGAGTACCTATTGAATATCTCACGAGCAGAAGATCCTATCAAGCACTCTTGGCTTGGGGCTGCACGCTTCGCAAGCCAGCCAGAGCTCGTGAAAGGAGTGTTGGTCGACAAGGCCGAATACGACGAGAAGGGTTCAGCATGGCTAGCAAGGAGGTTTTCATAGGACAATAATACCAATGCAGACTTGGGCCGATTATAAGTGCACTTGCCACGAAAGTGAACCGCAGCAATTACATCGACTTTCCTTGCGAAGGTACGACGTGACCATGGTGACGAGGGGCGGAGCAACTTGGCTGGTGATTGGTGCGTGAGCGGCGTCTTGGCAATGGCCGTCCGCAAGTCGAGGCGAAATTCCTGACCACCACCCGTCCCAGCATCTCGACCTCAATGCGCCGAATACCGCGCCCCTCGCGGGCCCTTGACCCACTGAAACCGGCCTCGTCCTCGCTGCGGCAATGGGCTCGACAGCCGCCGTCGCCGTGTGCCCATCTGCGGACCTCGTCGGCCGCCTTCTCCACCTCCCCGTCGCCGCGCTTCCTCCTGCCGGGCAAGCAAGACAAGAAGAAGCATCAGCAGTTTGTCAGACGATGGCAGAAGCGACTGCTCGGCGAGTCTGAGCCAATTGGCGCGCATGTCGATCCATATGATCCCACGTCGCCGGTGCGGATAGCGCCCGAGGAGCAGGGCGAGTATGAGGAGGTGCTCGACGAAGACAGGCCCGGCCGAAGACACGACCACCTGCCCCTCTACACGCCTGCACATCAAGGCCTCAGGCTGCCACACGTTGGCGGGGAGCAATGGCTGCAACAGAAGCTCGAGGGCGACATGGCCAAAGAGTTCGAAAAACTCACTTTGCGGACATATACTCCACTTACCCTGGACATGGCCAATGAGATTGAGGAGCTGACGGGCACTCCATATACGCTGAGGGATGAGAATTTGATGATGGCCCAAACAGTGCATCAGGTGACGGGACGGCCATATACGCATCTCGATTTTGGACTTCACGCGAAGGTCTCATCGCCCCAAGAGCTGCGGATCCGGTTTGCGCGAGCCGTCGCTGAGGTTTTTACTCTCAGTCAAGCTGGCCTTGACATGGATCTGTCCAAGCTACCCAACCGAGGCGTGTACGAACCGCCTCGTTGGGTCCGGGAGATCAAGTTCACCACAGGGGAACATGGTAAATTTGCCCTGGCCTTCCCCAAATTCAAGAGTGCGGACCAATTCCTACAAGTTCTCCAATCCGCACCAGATTGGGAATCGGCATCCGCGTCAGAGGTGGGTCTTCAGAGCGATGAACTTGTCGACTCATTGGAAGCAAATCCAGTACTGGAACAGCCACCGACCATGGACCCAGATACACCGGCTTTCAAACGGCAAGCTGTCATGAAAATGGATCCCGATAACAAGCCGTTCGACTTCATGTCTAACCGACCTGTGCCACGTGCCAAGCCTCTCGAACAAGCCAAAGCAGATGTAGCTGTAGACCCAGACGTTCCTAGAGGTCCATCACGCTTGGTAGAGCTTGCATCAGCCATCGAAACCTCTCGGTCCACTATTAGCGAGCTTCGACATTCTTTGCTCGAACACAGGGTCGGAAGTTTGGCTGAAAGCATTCTGGCATTGAGGAGAGCGACCACATCTCAAACTGTTCGGCCTCTGGTCACACAGTCCGCGGATTTAAAATGGCGGCACGTTCCCGTCACTGATCTCGATGTCAAGTTTGCTGTAAGTAGCTTATTGCACCCTTTCTAGCGCTCATGTACTGATTGCCACAGCTCTTTAAGCGCCTCTTCCAGCTTACTGGTCTTCAAGTGGCGGATCCACACATCACATCGGCCAACACCCTTGGGGACCTTTACGGATACCTTTGTGCCGCTGCTAAACCACAACCAACTAGCTTGTTCTCTTCGATCCATGTTGAAGGACAAAAAGCGCGAGAACAAGCCAAGCGCCGTGCAGCATTAAACGAAACTTCGAAGAGAAAAGCCGATCTTGGCGATTTGATCAACCTCGGAAACGTCAAGCTGCAACGCGTGAAGCCGAACAAGACGGATAAACGCACAAAGACCGGTTTGGAGAAGGTGGTGCAATACGCCCTCTGGGAACGCGGCCTGACCAGTGGACGACCTCGGAGTTCGACGAACATGAAGACTGGAGGATTTAAAGCTGTGAAAAGGACTAGGAAGGCGCCCCAGTTTGGGAAGCCAATGAGTAGTAAGGGAGCGAATTTCTTGTCCAAGAAGACAAGAGAGTGGAGCGCGGAGCAAGGAAGGCAAGGAAGATTGTCACGATCGTCTAGTGCGTAGTGACTAGGAAACTGGAGTATCGACTCCACGAGCAACTGCTTTTAGTACTGAAAGGTACTGAACTCATTGCAATGATTGTACAATTAGCCTTCACTGGTCCGTGCATTGTAAAATATGTTTTAGAGCTGATGGCAAGATCAGGATAGGTAGAAAGAAGAAACCAATTCCCACGCCACTCATGCGGCCACACTCACAAGCAGGCTTACGTTAGGGTTCATGGGAGCTCTAGTGTGTAAAACGAGAGCATTCCAGTGTGACGAATGATCCGCATCCTATCTGTCAAGATTATTTTCAAAGCCATGGCAAAGAAATATGAAAATAGTACATCGAAACCCTAGACAGTTGGCAAATTTGTGTGTATCCCACCTTATAGCGTTGATACATAGGAGGACTAGAGTACCATTCTCGTAGTCATGATTAGGATGCTGTAAAGCGCCAAACGTTGAACTCCCGCTGGATGTGTCGTCGATGGATTGAGCCCTGAAATCATTATTGCCTACTGGGACGAGAACAAATTAGTGATACTTGCAAGTACTCGTCAATAATGAAACTCAAACCTGCAACAAGCATAATAGTCTACGGGAAAAGGCAAAGAAAATTGCAAAAAAAAAGTACAATAAAAAAGTGGACGGATGGATGATCGAAATCCAGACCTCCCGCAAACCACACGATGATGCAAAGCGGGCGCTCTACCACTGAGCTATACGCCCTTTCATAAGAATTTGGAATTTCCAAAAATTAGCTTGGATGTATTCTTGGGTATCACTTTTAGCTGTCACAGCCATGTAATAATCTGCCCGATATCTTCACAAAACATTGCAAAGGAGGGGTAGTGTGCAAATTCTAAGTGGAGAACGGGTCCCTGGTGTGGGTCGAACAGCACGTTCATCAACTAACTTTGATATCCGCTGCTATTCAGACAACAGTTTGAAATGTAGGATACCTGAGCAACTAAAACTTGAGGTCAAGTCCACTCGGAGGGTATTTACCCACAAGTGAGAGGAGAGTTACCACATGACACCTGGGCAATGTTATCAGACCGGCCGTGAGTCCAACGATATTTTGAAGCCAGTTTTGATCAGGCAATCATACATCAAAACAACGACAAAATGCAGGATCTCAGCTTCCCAATAGACATTTCATGGATGATGAGACGAGACTAAGGACTGGTCGGAGTTGCTGGGCCGCCAAGACCCTGGCCTGGCGATCGTCTTGGGGAACGCGTCGGTGTTTTGGACACCATGACCACATGGCAACCACAAGTGGCCAACACCGGTGACGATGAGAATACACACAGCTGCAGCATGGCAGGCGCTGGCTGTGCTGCCGTTGCTGAGCCGAGTCACGTTGGCCTCGCTTGGCGACAGATTGCCAGAGTTTAAGGACTGTGTCGAGGTATTTGGCCTTGCCCAAGTCCACGATCGCTACTGAGTGCAATTGCAGGTCTGCAAAGAAGCCAATTGCGCGGCAAACCCGACCGAGATCCGTACGTACTTGTTGCGTTGCATTCACAGTGCATTCTGACGAGGAGCAGCCCTTCATCGCCGCATCCTCCAGTGGGACTGTCCCGCCGAGTGCGACTATACCTGCCAGCATATCATCACCGACGATCGCCTCGCCCGCGATGCACAATACATGCATCCCGTCGTCCAGTTCCACGGCAAATGGCCCTTCTACCGCTTCCTGGGGATGCAGGAGCCTTTTAGCGTCCTCTTCTCGCTCTTCAACTACCTTGCGCACGACTGGGGCATGCACCAGCTCCGCGAAACCATACCGGCATCGTACCCGCTGCGAAAATACTACCTGTGGTTCGGATATGTTGGGCTCACAAGCTGGACCTTTAGCATGATATTCCACACCAGAGACTTCAATCTCACGGAGAAGCTGGATTACTTTGCGGCGGGTGCCAATGTCTTGTTTGGCCTCTATTACGCGCCAATTCGCGTCTTCAGGCTGGATAGGAATGAACCAAGGAGGCAGAGTGTCTTACGACTGTGGACCGGGCTCTGTATCCTTTTATACACGATGCATGTTTCATACCTCTCTCTGTGGTCGTGGGATTATACATACAATATGGCCGCCAATGTCGCTGTTGGGGTCGTTGCGAACCTACTCTGGAGCGGCTTCAGCTATGTCCAGTTCCGAAAAATAGGGCGTACATGGGCAGTGTGGCCTGGTCTTTGCGTTGCATGGATTATCCTGGCAATGAGTTTGGAGCTGTTGGATTTTGCGCCCTGGAAGGGTATGCTGGATGCACATAGCTTGTGGCATTTGGGCACTGTGGTACCTACAGTCTTGTGGTATAAGTGAGTCGACTCCAGTAGAACACTATACAGATCCACGGGAGACATGCTAACATTTCACAGCTTCCTTGTCAGAGACGCGCAAGAAGACATCACAGGTCCGCGGCTCAAGAAGTAGAAGGATTTGCGGAAACAGGGTGCCCGCACAGCCGTGTTACTTCTGGGGACGTCATGCAGAGTTAACGCAGAAGTATGATGGCGCTGGCGCTCGAATAGGCGCAATAAGTCTAGCACAAAGCTCAACTTGAATCAAGAAATCTGCGATCACGCGTCCAACTTGACATGTCTTTTTAATTGTCCATGCTTCCTGACCAAGCTACCAACATCACCGGTTTTGCTTAGTTCCAGACCTCTCTCAACAGCCGATTAGAAGTACCACAATTCGTAATCCAGAACAATATATTAGCTACTGAGTTTGGTTCTTTCCAAATGTAGGTACAAATAGATACTGCTTGAGTGGTTCATATTCACCTTTGGCTTCCTTCACAATCGCGCCCACAACGCCTAGTTGGACCCGAACTTGGATGCAGGCCACAGCTCTCCATTGACCGCAATCTTGCGTTATCCTATCTTGACCAAGGCAGGGAGCAGCAAATGGAAATCATATCATCAAATCTCACGAGACAAAAAGGTGAGCGATGCTTGTCTGTCAAAACGATGCAGAGCGGGAAGTGCTGAGTGAAGTGGTCTAATCTCGTCTTCACTCACCACTTCGGCGGCTGACCCATTTCCTGGGCGCCGTGAGAAGGCCTGCTATCAGTGTTCGGGTCCCGAGGCGATTACGACATTTACAACAGTGCTCGCCGTCATCATGGCCAAAATATGTAAGCACAACATGATCTCTTACGAAGCTTCGTGCGAGATAAGTTACGAGGATATCACGGCTGCTGGAAAATGCGGAGGAGAAATCAAGATCCAACCGCTGATCGTCTTGTCATTAGGTATCATTTAACGCCCGACGCCTGTTTTCCCAGTGCTAACAATGAGCGGATTATCCAAGAGTATATGAAGCGAGTAAAACATAGAAGATATACAGAGTAGAAGGGTTCTGCTACGCAGAATCGACCCAAGTTTTCGTTCCTCCTCCTGCTCCCTCACTCGTCGGGAATGGACAGGGTGCCCTTGGTCCACTCGCCTCCAGCCAAAGGTCGGGTAAAGGCAGTAATGTCATCACCGGCTGTTTGATAGAATACATAGAGACTATCCCATATTGTCTTAAGATTGGCGTCTCTTTCGGCGAAAGCAGTGACAGTGAGATGCGTTCCTCCAAGACCGGGTACAGCGCCAGCGGGATCTGTGATAGTGAATGTGTCGTCCTCAACAAAGGTCGTGTTCTCTGCCTGGTAGGTGACGTTGTATCCCTTAATACTCTTATCGGCCATCTGTGCATAAAAGTACGTAGTGTAACCAAGGGAGGTGGTGGGGTAGACGCTACGAATAGCGCCCGCAGTGGAATTCTGCCACGAATTGATGGGATGATTTTCCTGAGATACTGTCGTCGTGTTTGTATCTTTCCACCAGAATTCGACATCGTTCTGTTTGTTAGACAACATAGCGTAGGTAGTTGTGCCTTCACCCCAGCTATAGCACCCAACACCAGCGTGACCGTTGAACCCCTGCCATCGCTGGATAGGAACCCAGACATCCTGTCCATTATACCAAGCATACTGTTGGAATGTAGAATCGTCGATTGCAAACCAAATGTTCATTCCCAAGCGCTCCTCGAAAGGCTGTTGGTTTTGCTGGCCTGATGCGGTAGGGAATTTGGAAAAGTCCGAATCGCCGTAGTAGTTACCCTTCCAGCACGCCTGTAGACCGACACTAGGGTTATTGAATGCCTTTAACTTGAGATCAGTCAGTGGCCCTGGTTGCCAGATGTCCGTGTTGTTTGTCTTTGTGAGCTGCTTGACCGTATGGTTCTGGTCGATATAGAATATGTGGAACTGGGAATGATTAGCCTTTCCACCGAGAACAAACCAGGATGAAGGACCTACATATTGGGTAGCATTGATGGCATAAGCCACAGCTGAGATAGGAGAACCCTCTTTAGCATCGCTTGCAACTGTCTCGGACTTGCTGCCGCCAATCCATTTTCGGTCTGTGGTGTACTGCATGAATCGGATATCACCGGTGTGATGCTGGAAGTAGAGGGTGAAGATACGTCGTTGGCCGGTATTCCAAGACTCTCCAGCGAGTGCGATACCTGTTCCGTTGAAGGCTCCCTTCTTTGAGAAGTAGTTCGCATTGAGCGAGCCACCAATACATAGCTGTGGGTTAGTGCGACAGAACGGGTCTGATTTATCTTCGCCACTGTGGGATGGTCAATGAATAGAAGCACAGGAACAGAGTGTTGAAGACATACGAGCTCTTCTTCTTAAGACCCAACCCAAGGCCAAGACCGAGACCCAGTCCAAGGGCAAGCAGCCAAATTACGACACATCCGACGAGAATGAAAAAGGTCCGCTTCTTCATTCCGCACTTTCGGTCGTCCTTGGGAGGCACTGGTGGAGGAACCGTTCCAGGTCGCGAGATGGGGTCATTTGGATCAACATGCTCCTTGAAACCGTATGGTCGCAGTTGAGGTGACATGAGAGTCGTTCCTCCCTGGGACGAAGGTGACATTGGCCGTCCGCCATGAGGATAATCCGTAAACTGTCCAGGTACAACTTGTGGCCCCGAATAATCAGGAGTTGGTCCGCCTAAAGCATTGTATGTAGTATACGGAGTCTCCTTCTCAGTGGAATATCTGCATGGAGGTTAGCTATGTGGTCTCGAAGAACGCAGAAATATTCCAATTCAATGCGCGAGAATGTGCTCGAACGGAATACCCACGGTGAGTTGAAATACCCTTCCTGGTAACCCTCATGGGTTTGAGACGAGACTTGTGAATGTTGGTAGTCTTGCTGCTGATAGTCGTGAAGCGGTGGCGATAGAGCCGGCGGCGAGTGCTGGTTGGGAGTGTAAGGCTGAGGAGCACCATCAGTCGTATAGATCTGATCAGTTTCCTGGAACCGTGGTGGAGGACTCCATTGACTCTCGGTATAGGACCTGGGACTGCTCATGTTGTCTCGATATTCGTCGCGGCGATCCATTCTGGCGGGCAAAGAGGTCGAAACACAAACTGGGTGGGTCAGACTTTTAACGAACCCGCGCGACCCAGATGCACTGAGCCCGGCCAAGTGGCATATGCCTAATGCGGCTGTGCTTTGACGAGTGACGGGTCACTGTGAGTGGTATGAGCAAGGGCAAGCTGAGCTGCATACCAACGTGCGGCCACACGCTTCTGGATTTCCCGGCTGGCAGCGCTGCGTGCCATTTGCACGACAGTAAGCAGGCAAAGTTAATATGCAGCCACACGAACATCCAATCGGGAATCGCATGGCTGCAGTAAGCACGACCATTCTCGG